ATGAAGAAGGCTGGGATTTACAGTCCAGCATCATCTAGAGGGCCAAATGATTTCCACCCTGATATAAATATACTGCACAAATAAGTGGTGGGACCCAAAAGTAGGTTGCTGTTAACTGTCATCAAGTTGACTTCAACTTATGTCTACCCTCTGAATGAGAGACCTCCAAATCACCCTGTCATCTTGGCCATCTGTAATGCAGCCTTCCTCTTTTCCTACAAAATAAAAAATCAGTGTGTTTTAAGAAATACTGCCCATATGAGCCATACTATATGAGCACTGTAGGACATTTGTGTGTGACTAAATGAATTTTGACAGATATAAACAAACCAGCTCTTCAGAAAGCCAATTTAACAAGCTAATAAAGTCAATAACCCTTGCTGTTGAGTGCCTTCAAGTCATTCCTGACTCTTAGCGACCCTAAAGTGAGCCTATCACCCATAGCCACCCTAAGGTGTTTCTAAGATAAACTAAAGTAGAGTTTTCTTGGCAAGATTTGTTCAAAGAGGGTGTGCCTCAAAGAGGGTAAGGCTGAGAAAGTGTGACTTCCCCAAGTGGGTTTCCATGGCTGAGTGGGGGATTCAAACCCTTGCCTCCAGAGTCATAGTCCAATGCTCAAACCACTACACCACATTGGCTCTCCCAGGTTACTACACACTTAGCCAACTGGTTGAAAACTTTGCACTAATTCAAGTTCAGCCTCCCCCGCACCCACTACAACCACACAATACTCTCTTCCTGTCGCCAGAAAGCAAACCCTCATCTATAGACCTCTTCCATCATAAGATCCAGTAGCTATGTTCTCAAGGCCAAAGGAATATAATGAAATACATGGGGCTTGACTTGGCATAGTTTGTTTGGCTTTAGGATACACAGCAGTTAACTATTTAGAAAACGAAAAATACATATAAACTTGTTTTCTTTCATAAAACATCAAAAATCCCTGCTGTTGTTGCATTTGCATTGCTACCAGTAATGGAATACCAGTACATCAAAAGAGGCTTAGAAACACAAATACAGTTCATAAAGAAAACCCTAGTGACACCAACTAATCCCTACCCTCCCAAGTACCATAATGATACTAAAAGTGGCTTTAATATGGAGAGAAACATAATTGTGTCATTAACAGCCCTCCTAATATTTCCCCTGTTCCCTTATGGAATGAAGAGAGTAGTTAAAAATGAAGGAGTGGAATTTGATAGTTTTATGATTAAGTTCACTGGCCTCGCTACATAAAAAGAAAAAGCAACAAAGAAGCTTCTGGCACCTTAAAAACTTAACAACCCCATTTCTTCCCAGTCCATTTCATCTGATACTTTTGAGGTGGCCCTCAAAAAAAGCTTAAATTTAAATAAAACGTGTTAGTCTTGAAGGTGGCAGAAGACTTGCTTTTGTTGCAACATACCTAACATTGCTACCCCCCCTCTCAAAAATTTTTTTAAAGAAAATAGCAAGGATTATTTTTCACATGGAAAAATACTGGCATGTGAAGATTCTGTTCTCCCTTCCCACACATCAAAATGAGCTTTAAATGACACTCCACCCTTTTGGGAATCAGTTATAGACTAATGCAGGGGTAGGCAACCTTTCCCCTTTGAGGGCCGAGGGACTTCAGCTCCCATAATCCCAGGAGCTATTGGCCAACATGGGACTATTGGCCAACATGGCTGAGGCTTCTGGGAGCTGAAGTCCCTCGGCCCTTAAAGGGGAAAGGTTGCCTAGTTTCACCGCTCTCAGGCACAGCCAGTGGAGAAATTTCACCTGGCACTCCGCTTTTTAACCAAGAGCTAGTCCAATGGCACGCTTACTCTTTTCCATTTTGGAGGATCAACGCAGCTATTAGGTGTGTGAACAATCAATTGTGCAAAAGGGAGACCCACAAGCAACTGGAGAAATCATTTTTTCATATGGAAATGTTCAGCAATGTCATTGGTGCCCCAGCAAATTCATGCAATCTTTTTTCCTCACCAATAGAAAATCAGTAAAGTGCTTTGGGCAGCATATAAACATATTCACAGGACAATTATAGTGTAAACTGTAAACATACAGATGGAGGAAGAAGGTCAATATGTCCCATCTCCAATCTCCAGCCTGCTCACTCAGCCAGCATGGTCAGTGGCCATGTTGGCTGGAGGATTCTGGGAATTGTATTCCAATCTCTGGACCCCAGAGATTGGGTTACAACTCCCAGAAAGCCACCATGGCCAGTGGCTATGACAGCTGGGGGAGGGGGTCTGGAAGTTTAATGCCAATGTCTGGCCTCCAGAGACTGGACTACAACCCCCAGAATCCCTTAGCCAGCATGGCCAGCATGGCCTCAGACACTGGACTACAAATCCCAGAGTCCCTTAGCCAGCATGGTCAGTGGTTGGGAGATTCTAGAAATCGTACTCCAACACAAGACAACCTCTGAAACACACCTTGACTGGTGGGGAGGGTGCATAGAGGCTCTGCCTCAGGCAACTACATTTCATGGGGCGGCCCTGTGGGACTTCCAAC